AATGCAGCCGTCAGGGCAAAATTGGGGATCCAATCCCTACGGTCAGGAAGAGACGCCAGGAAGATGACCTGGCAGTATCGCATGTGCGGGATGGGAGAAGAGAGGTTGAAGAGAATTGTATGGGAGGCGAAGTGGGCCAACAAGAAGAGGGGTAGCCAACCCACGGAATGGGTCAAGGTTGTAGAGGACGTATGGAAGGGGCTCGACATCGACGAAGATGAAACGCTGGAAACGGAGGGTCTACAGGGGTTCAAGGAGAAGATATCTGTTGCTTGTGCCGAGAGAGAAGAACAGAATCTGAGGAAAGAATCCAAGGATAAGGAGGGTCTAGAAGTGTACGGAATGTTGAAGGAAGGAATAGGGTCCAAGGATTACCTACATGGACCAATGGATTTAAGAACAAAGCTTAAGGTCAAATTCAGGACCGGGGACATAGGCCTTCGAGAACGTCGACGAAGACATAGGACGGTAGACGACGAAGACGACGAGTTCAAATGTGATTGCGGCTTCGAATGCGAAGACCGTGTTCGTGTAGTCGCGGAATGTCCATCGTACAAGAAGGAGAGGGAAGTGTACGTGACTGAGCTGGGAAAAATAGATGGGACGTACAGGGAGATGTTTGAGGCATGGAATAGAGAGGAAAGGACGGTAGCTGTACTGGGGCATAGGAGGTGGGTTGAGAAGGCGGGAAGGGATACCGTTAGGATGGATAGACTCGGGAAGACATTTTTGAGCCACCTTTGGCAAAGTAGGAAGGAACGCTTGGTCATCGGTGATCGGTGNGGTAGCTGTACTGGGGCATAGGAGGTGGGTTGAGAAGGCGGGAAGGGATACCGTTAGGATGGATAGACTCGGGAAGACATTTTTGAGCCACCTTTGGCAAAGTAGGAAGGAACGCTTGGTCATCGGTGATCGGTGCTGTGGGAAAAATGCTCCGTCCTCTCGAGGACGCGTGGTCAATGGTCTAACCGCTACGGCATGCAAAACATAAGAGTACGCCCCCCCGCTCCCCCCCCCCTTCAAGACTAAAAATAGCGGGCACAGCTGAGCTATTGCTACGTTGAGTCCAGACACATAGGCCCCAAAACCCCATGGCACGACCTTAACTCCTGCTTCCTCCATACCCGTTACAATGAAGAGTTGTACGCAACTTGACCACTTCCGTCGCCCTGATGTTAATTTTCATGGGTGAACAAACGCATGGTTCTCGGAAGGAAGTACAGCCTTTCCCTGAATCCACCATCCTACCGTTCGGGTGCAACTAGCAGCTAAATTCCTCGAAATGAGAAGACCCGGGTTTCGGTCACGATGTAATTCACGACTCTGGTCTACCGCTGTTGCCGGCTTCCTGGTCGCTAGGTGCGCCACCCATGTTTTCGTTGGTGAGGCACTGTTCTATATCTTGCACTTCGGAGCAATGCTTCACTTTTCAACATCCAAGCAAGATGGACGTTTGGGCGAATAACAAGCGGCTTGTCTTCATTTTACGGCGAACACATCGTGATACCGAAGGGGTCCCTGTATAGTGCCGGGTGTGCGTAGAGTTTTCACCTGCACTATACCGGGCACCGGCACTGTTGTTCAGGGTGCTTGAATAGAGCCAAAGCGGCGCTATTCGGGGTCTGAAAATCCCTCAATAGTGGTACCGGTCTGGCACTATAATAGTGAGGAGAACTGTGTGATTTCATAGTGCAGCGCTTACACTTTGCGGGGCCAACAAATACCACACTAACGGTAATGGTGAGATCATGGCATGGGCGGCGCGGGCATACTTTTTGTCTTCACTTCAAATCAGCGCTCACAACACTGGTGCCGTTTACTCGAACCCGTGGTTACGCAGAGGAGCCCCTTTCCACCCTCCCCTCCTGCGGTACGTTGCCTTCGATTTTTATTGCGGGAAGAGTTCAGCACTCGCTTCCGTATGTGTACACACGAACTAGCGCTATCCACTGGGCAAGGAGCGGAAGCGAGAGAGAAACTCACTTTGCAAGAAAAGCTCGCGTACGCCGGGGTTCGCACCCGTGAGTTGACCTCTGGAAGGTGTCGAGGATACCAACTAGACCACCGGGGCGACCGTCTAGGCAGAATGTCACGATAGGGATGGTTCCTACCCTGTCGACCACAAAGATTTTGCTATGGAAAGTTAATCGTGGGCGGGACAGACACGCACAACTCTTTCACGTGAATATCGCAAAAGGATATACGAAGTACAACTGTATACCTCACAGCTGTGGAATTGGCCTTGCAAGGATCAAACAATTCCGGGCAAGCTCAAGTACTCGATAGCGAAAGGAAGATGCTCATTCAGGCACCCGATGCATATTTGGCGGCTGTAATGTTTGTGAAGCTCCAGTGCATACACTCCTACCTGACGAAAGAGGGCAAATACTCACTTTCTCCTTGCGTTCCTTTGATTTATTGTAGCGAGAGAAGGGAAATGTATGTGTGTGCGTGTGCGAGAAATAGCACCAATCACCCCAACCGGCTGCTGGCCGATGAAAAGACGTCGTGGTCAGTCTCAGCGTGGAAAGGCGATACATCAATGCTACCAAACCCCATGATCTGGGACCCCATGGTGTGTCTTGTCATAAGCATCGACCCCGTGTGTGCACGTTTTTTACAGTGTGTGGTGTCTCAGTTGGGATTGATCGCGGTTACCGGCTGACGAGAGAAAGTCAGAGTCAGAGTGCGGCTGAAACCACAAAATTCTTCCAAAGGCCATGACCTAGGGGCCCGTGAGGAGGCGTCACGGGGGGGGGGGTTGAGCTACTCTCCGCGCAAACGCTAGAATCGGTAGCAACAGAGGAAACTGTGTCTACCAACGCTGCCGCTTCGTACGCGCATTCCTTTCGAAGTGTTTTGACCGTCCTCGTTTCTTTCACCGCCACTGTCATTGCCAATTATTGCAATTATTATTGGCGGACCCTCTCAAGATGTGTGTGTATATTTGCATTCAAACCGGCTGAACAATGAAAACAAATACGCCAGTCTCAGTCGGCTGAAAACATAAATGCTTCTCAAGGCCATGATAAGGAGACCGAAGTAAGGTGTTGTGCGCGCAACAACATAAATCGGCACAGCCCAGGGACAGGAGAACAAACTTGTCAATACCACCCATGGTGTGCACGCACTTGCTTCCTGGCGTGGGATTTCACAACTCCACTACAGATTCAGAGGACCAGCCAGAACACGCTTGCTTTCATTTTCAACACCAGGCGCTTGCATTCACTTCCACGTCCGGAGAAAGCGGGCTACATGCGCCTGTAGAACCGCAAAGAATAACCTCGGACCCCAGAGCTTGTATTTTTTTTTCACACGAAGGAGGAACCGCGGACCCCACAGGTGAAATAGTTGTTGTCGAAACACATACTGGCAGTCGGGCAAAAGAGCAGCGGGAGACAACGGGCGATCGCAGAGCAGCTTTTCCCCGTCGGCGTGGTGGCGTGGAATACAGAGTACATGTACTAGTGTTGCACTCTCGTCGCGGACGATACGCTTGGGGGAGACAGACACCTCCAAAAAACAATGTTCGCTATTACTCACTCAGGAACTTTACAAGCAAGAAGTGAGTGTGGTGAATAAAACAACAATGGGGGGGGGCGGACCCCGGACTTGATTGTTTCTTGCATACAAAGAGAAAACGGCAAGCACTGCTGCGTGCCCCAAACAAACGTTTCATTTTCGTCGTACGCAAAAAAAAAAATGCCCGACAGGAGAGAGCGAACGAAAGGAAGTCTACCGGCAGAGGGAATCTGGAGGTTTCCCCGCAAGTTGTGGAGTGGCGAGTGGAGCGCGCTGCGGATGCGAGGACCTCGCCACCGCACCATGACCGAACCAAATTCCCATGGATCCTAAACGGCCACCAGCAACTAAATATCCGCCTTGACGAACACGAAACAACAAAGGTCCTGCTTGTCCTACAAACACGGAACAGAGAGTAAGTGCTGCACGGGAATGATCACAACAGTTGAGAAGGAGAGCACGAAAACCTGCGCGGAGATAAGATAGCCTTGTCAACACCGTCCATCTATATGTGGTTGGGCATGCGAGACATGTGAGAGTTCACGACAAAGGAGGGCCGACAGACAGACTTGAGGCGTGTGAGAGCCGGGTAAGGGAGACTGGCAAAAAAAGTGATGTATGGTGGATGGCGACCAAAGGAAAGGGGCGCCAGTTTCCTCGAGGGAGCGAGCCAGACACTGACGTGACACGGAGATAAACGACGCCCTGGTAAGATGCCGGAGAGATGAAACTTTCGCATGCACGACGTACATGCGAGGTCCCAGAGAGATGATACACACATGCCAAAGTCCGACGTGTCAGATCGAACTATTGGTGTATGCGCGCCGAAAGAGAGAGAGATCGGCCTAAAGCCCTGTGAGAGGCGCAGTTGCCCTGTGGGGGGCGCTGTTTAACGTGGTGTGTGGTGGATGAGAGAGCAAATGAAAGCGTCAAAAGGTTCGTTAAGCGAGCGAGCCACAGAAGCGAAAAGCGGGTGAACGGGAATGAACAACGCGGGAATATAATGCTGTGGGAGATGCAAGAGGGAGAGAGAGACTGTTGTGTAGGAGCAGACGACAGACTGGTGTGTGAGCGGGGAGAGAGAGACTGTCATAAAATAATGTAACGTGTGTGAAAGGGAGAATGGCGACCGAGCCGCATGTGATGAACGAGCTACACATAATGAGAAGACATGAGCGAGAAGTGGAATGCACAGAAAACAGCAGCGAGCTGCACAGATGGAAACGATAAATGGGGGCCCTGTGACAACCCGGGAGATCCGAAATGGAGCGCTCCCAGGGCCAGAGAGAAAATTATCCTGGAACGCTCGCGGATCTTTCAAATGAAAAGTGATAGTGACGTCGAGATCTACGACAGAAGGAAAGCGTCGAGCAGGCACAAAGCAATAGATATATGACCGACCCTGGACCCCATCAGAACGTCAGGCTGAGCCTTGCTACGTTTTCTTGTCATCGGGCAAATACTGCAATTGATATACTGCACGACACAGCAATTGTCTACATTGCACCACAAGAGTGACAACAAAACATGTTGCTCATGTATTTCCCCGGAATATTAAGAACGTTATCACCCTCGGGAGAGTATTTACAGGGGATGAGTTGAAGTCTTAACTACAGCAATCGTGGAGACTCAGTGACATGACACACGCCAGATAACAGATGAGACAAGACATACCGGAAGAGGAGAGACGGTGCCGGTCGGGAAGATGGCATCGGGGGTGCGAAATAAATTCAAGAATTACATGTTTTAAATTTCCGTACGGGGGTCAGTGAGATCGCGCCCGGTGTGACCTCACCGACCTTCCATCTCACCGACCATCAATCCAAGATTGAGCTCTCTTTGAGCTGCCCTAAAATAGGTACATGTGCATTCCTTTAACGTGTCGCCGGTGTCAGCGAAGCGCCATTATGCCTGTATGTATCTACGCTCGGCGCGGTTCACGCGCGATTGTCTGATATTCTTTAACCGTTATGCAAGTTGCATACCGTGCGTTGCTTTGAAGTAGCGGGTGGATTTGGCAGGTTTCCTCTTGAAAAAAACTGGAAACGCCCGCAGATCTTGGTATTCTACCGTCGAACACCCGTACATACCTACCATCGCGCAGCAAATGACCGCTGGTGTACAGTGTTAGTAGCCAAGATTGTTGCCCTTGACATGCACTACATGTCGCGTTTCGCGATTTTCCGAAAGATGCATTCATTATCGACTTCGGTGAGCTACAAGCAGGATTTTTGAAGTTGCTGTTTGTTTCGGTTTTGGAACGTTTCAAGCACCTTCGCTTGTTGCTAGACCCATATATCTATACATGGCCCCAGCCATTCTAATCGACATCGGCGACGAGCAGGAGGAGGAGCTGCGCTGAAGTTCGTGGCCAATTTTTCAATTTTTCGTCCCAATACTCTGGCGCCAGTCCACAGATACACCTTGGGTAGACACTGCTGTATACCAAATCTTCCGTGTATCGGCCGGGGGGGGGTCACAAAGGAGAACGGAAGCACAGCAAAGATGTGCCACTCTGATACTTGAAGGTACAGAAGTGCATTAGTGGTAGTACTGAGCGGAAAATTGTTTCGTAACGTAAAATGTACAGAAACCCTGCCTTGTTTGCCTTTGTTTTTCAAGCACCGCTTTCATTCCTGCTTATCGCGTCTACCTTTTTCTCCAAACAATTGCTCTCTGCAAACTGCTGCTCCCGCAGAAGCAGAGAGATTCGAACGATCTGCTATTTATTGATACGTTACCCGCTAGACGACTCCAGGCGACTGGTGTAAAATGAAGAAGACATTGAGGAACCAGATGTATGGCGAGGATATGATTTATAACGTTTCCGCGGGTGCAATTCGAACATTCGAATCACGGGCGGGCAATCGGTAGATTTCACTGGCGGCGGAACCAAGGGGCTTGGCGGTGCGAGGAATCCCCCAGGGATCAGACAACACCCTTGGCGATCAGCCGGAAGAAATCCGGAACATTCCTATCCACTGTACAAGTATTGCTTGACCTTTCGTTTGTCTCACGCCGGCCGCACACGAGCAGTACCCACCCCTACGAACACCTCCAGCACACACCCGCCTCCTGATGGGGAGGTGTCACATTCAATTTCAAAGAGACCGTACATGTTCGGCGGGTGTTGATGACAGAAAAGTGGGCAAGGTGTCTTGGTGGTTGGGAGGGGAGGTGGGGGACCATGAACCAAGGGCTTCCTGCTCTACCCCTGCCTCTTAGTCTCTTACCGGACAAAAGATCGGCATCAGAAGTCTCGATCTCAGGTACCCTGTTCTCCTCCGCTTCTTTCGCCTTCCTCCTGGTCAAGGGCATCTCGATGGTGCTGCTGATCTCGATCGATCTTCCTCCTTCCTGTCGGGCGTGCGCGTGCGTCGATTTTTTCCGTGCAGTGCTACGAACACCTGCCCACACCGCCCGGCTTGGCAGCGCGTGTCCTTCAAGAGCGGACTAGCCAGTCTTCACGTCGCGCACTCCTTGGCGAGACGCCACTCCGTACTATCTTCTCTCTCTAGCTCTCTCGCTCTTTCTCGTTCCCCGTCCTTGCTCGTTGCCCCTTCCCTCGCACCTGCAATGAGCGTCGCTTGATGTTGGGGCGATTGTATCCACTGGGCTCTGATATTTCAACACTCTCCCCGGTATATCGCGTTTTGCTTCGGAAACCCCAAAAATTCAAATCGGCGCGGGGGGGAGAGCGTACTGCTGTACTCCTGTGGAGAGTAGAGAGCAGGGATAGCTGGGGCAGGAGCGGGCGCGCACAGGAGGATAGGATCCTCGAACAAGAGAACATTTCGCTGTCGTCGACAGGTGCGTTGCCAATGCTCTGTTGATGAAGGTGACTGCTTTCGATGAAGTCTGGTAGTGACGAGAGCGCGACGCCGCCGTCTCCAAGGGCAGCAGCAGCACCAACGGACAGAGGTACTGGCGGCGATGCTACAGCAGATGGTTCCACCAGCAACCCCGGTGCTGCTGGCGTGGAGGATGGTCGAAAGCTGGTGAGCAGCGTTGTGCCTGTAGGCCATTGCTTGCTGGAACAGAGAGGATTGACTCCAGACCTCGTCTGCTTTGGGCATTCTCTGCTGGTGTGCTGCCGTTACTCAAATCTATCTTGTATGCAACCCTCGGTTATTGCCCTCACAACTGCTGCTGTGGTTATGTAGCTCGGGAGAGGGAAACAAGCAAGGTCGGCAGTCTCGTTTGCTGGCTGTGGTTGCCGCACACACCCGCTCTGTGCTTGCCATGCCAAGCTATATCGGTGGTGTTTCACCAAACTTTCACGAGCGAGATCACGAGCACAATGTCGAACTTTCTCAAAAGCACACACACCAGCCACATTCAACCTTCGGCACATGCTCCCGAATGCTTCCCGAATGCTTCCCGAATGCTTCCCCGCCCCCCAGGGGTGAGGAACGCTTTTGAGAGCCCGGTTCATCGACCACGGAGAGGAAGTCACAGTCAATTTATTGGTTTTCGGAAGCTGTCGGCGAGATCTTTCCAACATAGACCACTTTTCGGGGCCGTCACTTCTTGCGCTTCTGTTGTACAGAGCAGGACTAACGACAGCCCGCCGATGACAGAAGGGGGGGAGGCAACGCAGACGCAACGACCTTGCGACACCTCTCTACCTGTGGTCACACATACGGGATATGCTCGGCATCCCTGTGCCCTTGGAGAGACCATGAGCTGCTGTTAGAATCTTACACCGCACGCGATTCCCCGGCGCCAATTCCCTGTTTCGCCTGGATGTTATGTCTGTGCATTAAAAGTTGGACCAGTTTCGCCGGCAACGGAGGGCTTCGTCGGTAGACCGCGGATTGCAAGCCACTCGCGGGCGAGGAGGTGAGCGGCCACGAAGAGAGCTCACGAATAACCGGAGCCCCGCCAAGGCTGAGAGAGGCATGGGCAGAAGCGGCAATGGGTGCACTTTGCTTGTTTTGTGTGCGGGACCGACCAAACGCGCCGTCACCAACGTCGCGAAGCACAACCTCCGCGACGCTGTAATAGATACTCCTCTTGTTTTGCCCAAACCGCTCATATGCGTGAAACAGCTCGCAAAAACGCACGAGTAATTATGTCATTATCTTGTCAATCGCGTTGACAGATACGTAGTGCGACGCAGCTTGCCGACAGCATTCCCTGCAGCCTACCGACCCCCCCCCCTCCTCGCCCTTCGGCCGCGATAAACTGTCGCATCCTCAAGCACATGTATCAAGACTACGGCGACCTCGGGTGCTGTCGGGAGCTTCCCCCCACAGCAGCCACCATGCGCGCGGGGCGCACCACGCATCGTCTCGGCGAGAATGCGGCGCGCCTACATCCACGGTTCACGGCCTAGATCACAGCGACTCCCGTTCGTCGGCGGAGCAGCTCGTTGGCCTTGCCCTGCTCCCCGGCGGGGGGGAGGGGGGCGCCGCCGAAGGCGGCGGCGTTGCGGAATGGGGGAGCTCTCCTCATTCAGTGCGATCGTGGATGGGGCAGTCGCTCGCCGAAGGTCCTGATCCTCGAGGGTGCCGGGGGCGTAGCGTGCCTGCGGTGAGATAATCAATGTTTGGTCGCAGGCGGGGGGGGATGGGGACTCTTATTGTTACGAACGTTCGTAGACGAATTTACTGGGTGAATTTTAGACGCATGTCCCGGTTGAAGGCACTGCGGTTGACGCTGGGTCGTTCTTGCATGCCACCAAAAGACCCAAACAAGTTCCGGAACAGTTTCAACATCGTCACTCAGGAAAAGGGCTGTGGCTGACATTTTTCCCCGAGGAGCGCAAAAGCAATCAACCAACCGCGACCATCTTCCCAGCGGCCGACATCTTTCCCCATACACGCACACAAACGTATGGGTGACTCATACCCCAACAAACTTGACCACAACTACGACGCATTATCCCCACACACACACATCGCTCGCCATTTGCAGATGAGGGGGTCCGGGGGGAGGGGGGACAATGACGCCTACCAGGCACAACTCGCAGAGGTGCTCGGCAGGTGGGAAGCAGAGCGTGCCAAGACGGCCGAGCTCCAGGGTCGCGCCGCCGCCGCTGCCGGCCTTCATGAGAGGGTAAGGTCCTCGGCGGGGGCCGCCGCGCTCGCCCAGGCGGAGCTGGATGAGGCGAGGGAGCAGCTCGAGGCTGAGCGGAGGAGGGGGGATGCGGCGGAGCGCGAGATGAGCGCGTTGAGGCTCGAGGTGCGTCGGGATTGGTGGCGATGGTGATGACATGGTTTGTCCGGTGTTGGGTTTGCTTTCTCTGCTAGAGCGTTATTGTCAAGTTCTTTGAGGGATTATGATCGGATTTTGGTCCACTAGCTTGGGTAAGTGTGGGTTGTTTGGTCGCCGAAGGGAAGGGAGGTCAATGCAAAGTACAGCGTCTAGGCTCTTGTATGCACTGAGCTGCTCGCAAGAGTAGCACATAACAGGGAGAACGTCATGACGACGAGTTGCGCATGCTCTGCGCCTCTCGGCGTGGCACGGGGGCGCTTTTTCGCCAGGTGGACGCGCACAAGCGGAAAATCGAGGCGCTTTCTAATGACAACGAAGACCTGCTTTCGAAACTAGAGGTAAGGCACTAGTTGAACATGGCTTTCATTTGGCGTCGTCCTGTATTTCGTTTGGCCTCGGCTGGTCGGCGTATCTTCCCTCGCAAGCGGCCCATGTTCCCATCGCCCGGTGGTAGGTGTCTTTGCGTCCGATGTGTGGGTGTGCCGCGTTTTGGGGGAATATCCACGACCTCGCAACTCTAGGTTTAGAAGGGCGGTAGATGGTGATGCGCCCCCCAAGACACGCGGGTATCTCGGCAGCTGGCTGGGCTTCCATGGAATGGTCTCGTTTGTTATTGAATGGGATGGTTTGGGATTGTCGATGGCGTGCACCATCGTGCAGGCACTCGGTGGTTCGATCTTTTTGACTTGCGCTGTTCGCTTGTGCAAGCGGCGATGGGTTTACCGCAAAATGACGTCATTCAGGGCGCTCGACGTTTCAGTGGTCCTTCGAAAGGCTAAGGTTTTGCTTTGAACCGCAAGGTTACACATCCGACGGTACAATTACACACGGTACATGAAAGTAGGTGTAGTCGATGTGTTCAACCCTCTTGCATGTACGTCGCCGCAACATGTGTGCGTCAAGCGTGCAACATGCGTTGTGAGCGCTCCCCCATACGGGCACCATCTCGTCCTCTCAAAGCGCGCTCCTGATGCCCCCACTCTCACCGACCGCATGGCTTGCTCAGGCTCTCCAGACTGTCGAGAAACGCTCCGAAGAACGGTTGGAACGGTCGGAGGAACGCCTCCGGCAGTCAGAGGGGCTTCGGTCCAAGGAGGCGCACGACGCCAGAGAGTCGCTGCAGGCCGCCCGCAAGGCGCTCGAGGAGGCCGAGGCCGACGCCACGGAACGTTCCCGGGAACGCTCCGCGCGCGCGGCTGGGCTACAGGACGTGCTGAGGGAGCAGGGGGCTCTGCTGGCGGAGAGGTGCTATATTTTTGGTTATTTTTTCAATATGTTGTTGGCGCCATTCTAAACCTGTCGGTGTATGTTTGATGCACCAGCCGGGGTAGGTCACACACGGGACGAAGGTAGCCGTAGGAATGCGCCAATATTTTTTTATGTCCCTCCGCCGCCTTTCCTCCTGCGGTGCTTTCCTGAACCTCTCTACTCCTGCGGAAACCGTTGCTCCGCGGAACGCACCGCGATGAAAACGCAGAGAAGAGAGGCTCGCGGAAGAGCGCTCGGGCCGAGCGGCGGAAAGAATGGAGCTCCGTGAGTTGCGATCTAGGGACGCAGGGTACGTCCGGGAGCTAAAAGAGCGCGCCGACGAAATCGCGGAGCTCAACGAGGTAACCGCACCTTTACTACCAGTGTTGCGTGTTTGTTGCCGACCGCTGTCGGCGTGTAATGGGAATTTTATGGACGTGACCTGCACTTGAGCTCGCGTACAGCAGCATGGGTGTTGTTCTATCTACTTGTGTCTCCCGTCCAACACATCTTTCATTCATTTCGTGCATCACCCCCCGTGTTTAGCAACCAATACAATACTCGGGAGGGATCTCTTGCAAGACCGATGGTAACTTTGTTGTCTATGTGTTTCGATACTCGGTGGCGTTTCCGCTTTGGCCTACTTCAGAGTGCCAGAGGTGGATGTATCCCATAGTGATCACATATCTCGTGTCAGCAGATCTCGTGCATGCACTTCGTTTGTGTGGATCTGGATCAAACCCTTGCGTGCAGGAGGAACTTCATGCCGTTTCTTTTTCATCGCGTTCAGGCAACTTCTTGCGAAGAGGGAAACTATATAGTTCCTGGAACTTATTTTTCTGCATGCGCCTCAGGCCCTCTCTCAGCTTCAAGAAGAAGATGTGCAGACGGCAGAGGAAGTGGGGTCGGCCCGCGCTCTGCGTTCGGAAAACGAGGAACTTCAGGCACGCCTCGCGCAGGTGACCACCACCCATGTTGAGGTTTGGCGGCTTCGGTGGCATTTTGTGGCGTGCGTTCGCGTACAAGTTGGCGACGACATTGGGTTCCTTTGCCCGGAAAGGAGTTTCGACCCCTGTTTCGTGAAGGCCGCCCCAGGACGTCCGGCCGGTATCTAGACAGTTGTGGTGGTTTCGACCCAGCTGGGGGAGGTGTCGGTTGCTCCCGTTGCATTGTGAGGCCTGATTTCACGTCACGCCCCCTCCCTCATGGAAACGTTTTGTTTGTGCGCTTTCCTCCCTCATGTGCACGGAGTTTGTGCGCTTTTCTCCCTCATGTGCACGGAGAGGACCGATAACGCTCTCCGCGTCGTCAAAGTCGTACGTTTACCTCCAACACTGCAGGAAAGTATCGCTGTGACACGACGTCCTTCCCCACTATTGTGTAGAAAAGTTGCAGTAGGATCATCAACTAATGTTTCGGGGGGGGTGATACTACAGACTACAATAGCAGGCACGTAAATACGGCATGTATGCACGGGGGCCTAGACATTAGGGATTGGGGGGTGAAACACCTACGGAGCCCCCAAATGGGGCACCTACATCATTCCCCGTGCTGGCCTAGCCCGACTGTTTTGTTTTTTTTGTCCATGTATTTCTGGTGCAGGCTCTTCGACAGGCGTCTGCGGCGGAATCGTCTGCCCGGGCAGCGGAAGCGCTCGCCAGCAAGGCCAATGAGGAGTTGGTCCACGAGCTGCGGGACACAAGGGAGCGATTGCGAGACGTTGAGGTATGAACAAGAGTAGGCGCGGCAAGCAAGCTCTTCTTGGACAAGACCGTGGTGTTTCCGAAAACGTATTATCCGTTGGTTTGTTTTTTCTCGACTGGCAAGCCCTTGTTTGTGCTAGAGGCGGTGCCTACGCGATTTCTTCTCTGTGACGTATGTGCGTAATGTGAGAGAGCGAGAGTGCTGAAACTTGGTGCCATTGGCCTGCCGCCCACCCAAGGAAAAACAACAGTCTGTACCGCCCACTCGAGGTTACTGCGCGCCTGGTCGCTCCCGCGCGGTGTGCCGCAGCGTTTGGGACCCATGTGTGCCTCGCTGTGAGGGGGGGCGTACTCTTACCTTTTGCATGCCAAAGCGGATAGACCATTGACCACGCGTCCTAGAGAGGACGGAGCATTGTTCCCACAGCACCGATCACCGATGGTCAATCGTTCCTTTCTACTTTGCCAAAGGTGGCTCAAAAATGTCTCTAACGATATCCCTTCCCGCCTTTTCAACCCACCTCCCATGCCCCAGTTTAGTCATCCTTTCCTCTCTATTCCGTGCCTCAAACATCGCACTGTACGTCCCATCTATTTTTCCCAGCTCAGTCACGTACGCTTCCCTCTCCTTCTTGTACCACGGACATTCCGCGACTACATGAACACGATCTTCGCATTGGAAGCCGCAATCACATTTGAACTCGTCGTCTTCCTCGTCTACCGTCCTATGTCTTCGTCGACGTTCTCGAAAGCCTATGTCCCCGGTCCTGAATTTGACCTAAAGCTTTCCTCCTGCATCCATTGGTCCATGTAGGTAATCCTTGAACCCTATTCCTTCCTTCAACATTCCGTACTTTTCTAGACCCTCCTTATCCTTGGATTCTTTCCTTAGATTCTGTTCTTCTCTCTCGGCACGAGCAACATATATCTTCTCCTTGAACCCCTGTAGACCCTCCGTTTCCAGCGTTTCATCTTCGTCGATATCGCGGAGGGGGGGGCGTACCCTCCATGCACCCTACAATACTTTCAATTTGCAAGGCCTGGGGGGCTATCGAACATTTCGAACCCTCCTCTTTCTCTGTTTGTGCGGGGGTAGCGGGGGGTTTTCTACCCACACACTTCCAGACTCTCCCCCCCCTGGCGAATGTCGTTTTGATTTGAACTCACGGACGGTCCATCTGCACTCCAGGGGGAGCGGTCGCACCTCGAGCAACGGCTGGGCGCGGTCGAGGCCCGCGTGTCGGAGGCGGCGCGCAACCGCGCCGACTTGTCCCGCCGCCTGGTGGAGACGGCCATCGAAGCGGAGCAGGCGGGCGTAGAGAACCAGAGACTGGAGCACCGGGTTCGGGTGAGTAAGGGACACAACAACGTGGTCGTGTTAAGTGCCCTTCTCTGCGCGTCGTGCGGTGTAATATTTTTATGCCCGGAAGGCGTACGACTTTTCGGTGCGGTGCGAGGGGGGGCGATGTGATTCTGACGTCGGTCTTGCGGGGGGCCCTGAAAGGGGCTGTCTGCTGCTGGACGGATGGTGTGGAGTTCTCCGGCGAGATTTTCATCGTGTGTTGGCGTTTCGCTTTCATAACCGAGCAAGCCCAGCGTGGGCTATAATTGCAGGGCAAACGAAATAGGGTCAGCTGGGCTATTGTGGCAGGCAAAGGAAATGGGGAAATTAGGTCATCTCACGAGCTTTGTCTCTTGACCGACGCTTTGTTCTTGCGCACCTTCTTTTTTGGCTCGTGCACTGGCTCATGGTCCAGTCCCTCTCGGAAACGTGGGAGGCCGATGGCGGGGGGTTGGACCTGTCCTCGTCGAGCAGCTCGGACGGCCGGAGACAAAGCGCTGACGAGGTGCGTTAACTTCGCCCTTTTGGGTTGATTCCTGTCCTTTTTTCGGCAGAGGGGGAGCATGACCTGCAGAAGAGTTTTTTTCTTGTTATGCAGTGCAGTACCGGCATAGATATGGCTGCCTGGCCAGGCTGGGTCGAGCAGGTTGAGTGTGATGTGCGTGACGGGCACGCTCGTTTGCGGCCTGATTTGTCTTGCACTTACGAACAAACCCCCAGAGTCACCCCCAAGGCCGTGCCGCCGGCGTAAGGTGTTGCCCTGCAAGTTTTTCCCCGCACGGCAGAGGACCTGCACGTGCGCGCGCCACCGATGTCGTGCACACGCCGTCTTTCTTCTCTCCCTTGGTTGTGCTGTTCCCGCCCTCTCCCCTGCCCATGCGCGCTCTTTGGACTCACGCGTGGATCGAACAGCCGCCAGCAGGAGGCGTTCCTCTCCGACCGCTACAGGCCGCTTCTGGGCCGGCGGCGGCACAGCAGCAGCATCAGGACTCGAGAAGACAGGTGGCGGCCCTCCAGGAGCACCTTGCGGCGGCAGAGGCGAGGGCGGCGGCGGGGGAGTTAAACGCCGAGGAGGCGGCGGTGCTGGGGGGCACGGCCGAAGTCGGCAAGGCCTCGCGAGGCAAGGTAGCACTAACGGAGGAGCCAGGTAGCGTCTCTGAGGCTGCCGTCGGCGTGAAGGACTGGCCGAAGGCATCCCTTGAAGCTGCTCGCGAGGACCAGGCAGAGCTCAGGGACACCATCGCGTCGTTGCGGAGCCAGCTGGAGGCCGCGCTCACCGCGGCCGTGGCCGACAAGCAGGAGATGTCCGCCGCCATTGCGGACGCTCGAGACGAGCTGGCTTTCGAGGCCGACCGAAGGGTTGCCTTGGAGAGAGAGGTCACGACACTGAGATCGCGGCTGCAACAGGAGCAGCAGCAGCACCAACAGCACCAGGGAGTAGGAGGCGCTGAACAGGCGGGGCGGTCGGCGGAGCATGAGCGAGTGACGGAAGCGGAGGCCTCGCTGGCGGAGTTGCAAGCGGTCTGCTCGAGGCAGGCGGAAGATGTAGCGGCGGCTCTCAGGAGGGCAGACGCAGCGGAAGGCGAGCTGGCCGCGGCCCGGGCGAGCATCGCAGATCTTGCGGCCGCCTCCGACGCCAGCCTCCGGGGTAAGCTGGATGCCGCCGAGAGCAAGCTGGAAGAGTACGCCCGCGAGGCCACCGCCGCCCAAGCTGAAGCGAAAGCAGTCATCAGGGCTGAAGCGGCCAGCGTTCATACCGCACTCCAGCGGCGGCTACGGGAGGCCGAGTCTCGGGCGATATCGCTCGGCGAGGAACTGGAGGCCGCGCTGAGAGCGAAGGAGGAACGCGATGTGCTAGCTTCGAAGGCGGCGGCGGCGGCGGCTGCTGAGACTCTCAAGGTGCTCGTTTCGTCGACGTACCCTGATGGGTGGTGGGGTGTGTGCCTTGGGCACTGCGGCTGTGAGCCGTGCTGGTGTACATCGGAGTATGTATGAGGAAGCAAATACTCCTCTGTTGTGGCAGGCAAACTTGTGCCTCAGCGATGTTCTCTTTCCTGTGTATCGGGACGTGCTATGTACCAAGCCGTGCTTCTGGTCAACACCCGTTCATGCTCGTGGCAGAAACCCCCCTCCCCGCTGTTTTTTTTTGTCGTGGACTGGACCATTATGGCAATTGCCGACACACACAAACGATACCTCCCTCAAAATCGTCCAACCTCGACGTTCTCACCTTGTACGCTCCCTCCCTCCCTCCCTCCCTCCCTCCCTCCTTGTTCTCCTGCTACTATCTGGCCGGCCGGTCGGTCGCAATGCGGGGGCGGGTCGTGACAACAACAACAACAACAACAACAACAACAACAGCATGAACGCGCTGCCGAGGAAGCAATGGCCACCGCGGCGGCGGCGAAGAAGGCGCAGCGGGATCTCGAGAACCGGCTGGACGAAGCACACGAAGAGCTAGCGGCCGCCAGGGCGCGGTCCGCGCGCGCCAGCGAGCGATCCGCCGAGTCAGCCACAGACGCCGCTAGGAGGGGCGCCGAAGCGACGGCGGAGCTGCGGGCCGTCCGGGACGACCTGGGAACCCGGGCCCGGGAGGCGGAGGCGACGGCGAGGGCAGCCGAACAGCGGGAGAGGGAGGCGCGGGCGGAGGCCGGCAACGCCGCGGCGAAGCTGAGCGCGGCCAGGGCAAAGGGCGAGTCCATGGAGGCCGATCTAGCAGCGGTTCGCGCCTGGGCGGAGGCGGGATCGAAGCGGGCGGGGGCGTCCCTGTCGGCCCTGCAGGCCCGCGCGAACGGGCTGGCGGCGCGTGCCGAGCGCGCGGAGGGGGCGCTGGCGACCTCCCGAGCCGACCTCGAGGCACGGGGGTCCGCCCTTGCGGCCGCGGCGGAGAGGGCTAGGGAGGCAGAGGGCGAGCTCGAGGCCGCCGTAGCGGCGCACACGCGGGCAGAGTCCGAGTTAAGGGACCGCCTGGAGAAGGACAAATCCGAGGCCGTTCGAAGCGCCAGGGCTAAGGCTTCCGAGGAACAAGCGCGGCTGGAGGCGGAGAGGTCTGAGGAGTTGGCTGACCTTCGGGAGCGGCTAGAGGAGGCGGACGCGAGAGCGGGCGCGGCGGAAGATAGGCTAGCGCGGGCGCAGGGGGAGGCGCTAGCCGCGCAAGAGGCTGAGTCGGCCACGGCGGCCGAGGCGAGCTCGGCAGCGGCCCTCCTCGGGGCAGAGCTCTCTGCCGTGAAGCAAGAGCTAGCGCAGGCGAGGGCCACCCTATCCGCGGAGCGGGAGCGCGCGGCGGAGGCACAGGCGTCGGCCGCGGAGCTCGCGAAGGAGGAGGTCCTCCGCGCGGAGCAGACGGCGAGCACGGCGACCGCGGCCCTGAAGCACGCGCTGGCGGAAGCCGACGCGAGCGCGGCCGAGGCAAGGAGCGCCGCCGACGCGACGGAGGAGGGACTCCGCGCTCTGCTGACGGCGGCCGAGAGGGACGCGGAGGTGCGGTCGGAAGCCCTCGCGGCGAGCGAGGAACGAAGGGCGGCGGCGGAAGCAGCGCACGAAACCGCGCTAGAGCACTCCAGGTCGGAGGCTTCGCGGCTGGTGAGCGAGCTCAGGGCTCAGCTCGCGTCGAAGGAGGCGAGAGCCGACGCCGCCGCCGAGGCCTTGGCTCGAGAACGGGTACAGGCAGCCGCCGTCGCCGAAGACCTGGCGAAGCTCCAGGTTACGGCGAGAGACGCTCAGTCCCGAGAAAAGAGCCTCAAGGGGGAGCTGTCCGCCGCGCGCGCGGCGGCGGTGGCGGCCGAAGAGGCCAAGATCGCGGCGGCGGCCGCGGCGAGGTCGGAGGTCGACCGGCTCGAGCTCGAGGTGGACGAGCTCAAGGACGAAGTCGCTCACGTTAAGGCCACCCTCTCCGCCCACCGCTCTAGCGCGGCCGCGCAGGGGGCGGCGCACGCGGAGGCGTTCGAGCGCGTGGAGGCCGCGGCGCGGGAGGCGAAGTCGGCGGCACGGGCCACAGAAGAACGCCTCTGCGCTGCCCTCGAGAAGGCCGAGAGGGATCTAGAAGCGCGCTCGGCCGGGCTGATTGCCGAGCACCGGGAGCGGGAGGAAGCGGTGAAGGCCGCCGGCGACGTGGCGCTGACGGAGGCGGTGGCGCAAGTCACGCTGCAGCTTGACGATGAGGTCACCTCGGCGAGGGAGCATGCCGAAGCCAGCGCTCGGGAGAGCGCCGCGTGGCGGGCCCGGGCGGAAGAGAAGGACGCCAACCTGGCGAGGCGCAGCGAAGCCGCGGCGGTGACCGAGGCTGCCACGTTGGCCGAGCTCGCGGCGTCCAGGGACGCGGAGGCGGCGACGACGGCCGCGGCGGCCCGGCTGAAGCTCGAGGTTCAGGCGCTTGAGTCGGAGGCCGAGAGGGTCCGGGCCGAGGGGCAGGAGGTCGAGTCGGTCGCGAACGCCGCTGTCGCCGCCGGAAAAGCCAAGGCGGTCCGCCTGGGGGAGGAGGTGGAGGGCCTGCGCAAGGAGCTTGCCTGGGAGCGGCAGGAGGCGGAGGAGAAGCTGACTGAAGCGCGGGCACAGGTATCTTGTTGTTATCAATCCGTTTTTTTTTTTTTTTTTTTTTTTGGGGGGGGGGGG